TATATATGTATGTATATATATATATATATATATATATATATATATATAATTTCATTATTTTTTTTCTTTCTTTCTTTCTTTCTTTCTTTCTTTTCATTTCTCTTGATGTATCGTACCATCGATTCTTTCAAGCCATAAAAGCGAGCGACGTCCGTGTAACGCTTTCCTTCCCGAAGCATATACAGGAGTTTTACCTTCTCCTGAATGGCGCTGGCGCTTAGGCTCACTACTACCAGAAGGCTTATAAGATGAAGGACGCTTGGGAGCCATCGTAGGGCTTAAAACAAAACGAAAAAAATCGGATCACAAGCAACGTAAGCGATACGCAGAAAACTGTGACGCGTCGGGAAAAATCTGCGATACCGGGGGCGCGATAGCTGAACCGCGATATAGCGGGGGTCAATATATATACTGTGGTAATTGCAGTATTTGTTCAATTTAAAATGTAACGCTTTTATTACTTTTTGCTTAATTGCACTTCTGATTCCCTAGAAAACCCCCCTACCAGAAGGGAGAAGTCCTCTCCCAGCCATGTATGCCAGGGCCGCTTCTGTGAATCACATAGTTGCAGGTGTGATATAACTAAGGGCAAATGTTACTTATGAGGGATCATGATGCAATGTGAATGGACAGCAATGATAATAATCTAAATTCTCTTTACCACCTGTCTGTCTATAATTTTCTTTGTCAGACAAACGCCCCCTACAGGCAATGAGGAGAACACTGCAGAGTTTATTTTCTTCCTCCACAGACAGGCAGACATATGAACACACAGAGGTATGTCAACAGAACATATCGTTAGCACAACCACCAGATGGCGCCAAAATGCATTTGTAGCTGTTTACAGTTTCATTGTCCTTTGTATTGTTTTACAAAACAAATATTTATGCTAAATAAGCACTTTATATAATACATCATATACTACTTTCAAACTATTTTTTTGATAAATTATCATGCAGTTTTTAAAATCTTTACCATTGCACAAACAGTTATGTATACATACACCGAATACTAAGGAATCAATCAGTCAACCAATCAAAATTTTGACACCCAGATCACAGTTTTAAATGCTTAATTATAATTTATATTTTGTGTTTATTTGAGCAGTAATTTCATAATACTAAGTTTTATTATGGTTTTATATATTTGTTATAATAGTTTATATTAAATTTAACTCCGAAACAGGTAATGCCTTTATTTTACCATCACAGAACATATATAATGCAGTTGATTTCATCACTTTACGTATATATGAGTAATTTTATGCACAGTTGAAAACTATAAACATAAAATTAGTCGGTGATTAGTTCGGTGATTATTCGGTGTTCGGTGATTATTTTATTCAATGAAATCATGACACACAATCTCCTGCTGGCACATGGGACACTGCAATGACACACAATCTCCTGCTGCTACACGGGCCACTGCACTGCAATGACACACAATCTCCTGGTGGTACATGGGCCATTGCATAATCTCCTTGCAACTTCAGAAAAATGGCTCTGCATAGCACTTTGTCTGTAATTTTGTGGGATACTCACCCCAGCTCTCTGTTTTTCTCTATATAGGTGCCTGCTTCTCCTGAACTTGTGGATACAATGTCTCCAGAGGAGGTGATATTATGTCTGAATACCTAGTTGAATGTGATGTTTAAAAATCATTGGGATTTTCTGTATCATTGACTCCATAACCCTATTTACTCTAAATGGCTGAGGAAGATCAAGGCATGGGAGGAGACAGAACTGGATAAGCCTATAAACATAGAGCAGGTGCACGTTGATCCCTCACCCTTCCAGCTGGTGGAGAGGACCTCACTGCACAAGGTTCGTTCAGACACTAATTTATGGCTAGGTGCATTGTGCTTGAGGGACTTTTGATTGCAGTGTGTGTAAAATTTCACGTGCATATACTTGTAAATGGTCTTGAATGGTCTGTTTTATACGAAGTCACTGCATGTTTAAAATACTTGGCCAGTAAAAATCTTTCTGCTTTTCTAATTCTGATCATTGATGGGAGTAACGGTGTGTCTGTGTCTGTGTCAGACTCACACGCTCTTCTCCTTGCTGGGCCTCAGCCACGCTTACGTTACTGGTGCCGGGAAGCTTGTCGGAGTCGTGGCGCTGAAGGAGGTGAGAGCGCCATGACTTCCTTCTCGTTTGCTTCCTCTCTATCCTCCTCTCCCACCCTGTCTGCCTGTATTTTGACACTTCTCTTAGCATTTTATTTAATAGTTTGTGTTGTCCCATAAGGTAAAAGGCAAATCTCAGAAAACAGAGATGGCTTCCCACATAGTAACTGATTCTGGGCCAATCCACCTGCCTGTTCTTAAATCTGGGTGCCAGGGATAGAGTCAGCACCAGAATCTGTCCAGAGTTCTGAATGATTACAGTTGGTCTGTATACACTCTGCAGATCTGGCCCGCATTCGCCTGACCATAAACATGTGATCAGTCACTTACCACATGCACAGCTGATGCCCTAAGAATCTGAGGGACGATCGCCTCACGTAGCAAGATGAGTCTGAACTGTATCCAGGCCAAATGTTGTCAGAAATCGCCACAGATCCGTAAACCAGATCAGGCCTGGTGTCTTTTTGCACAATGGACCGATACTGGTCCGAATCCGCTTTCTGGATTTATAACAGATGAAGGCCATATATAGGCCAGATTCACACTGAATGTTACCAAAGCTGGCCTGTATCTGCACCAGAGTCAACAGTTAAATTCAAAGCTGTTTCAAATGGGGCCAGTAAGTGGCTCAGCGGGCTACGTCTCAGTGGCTGTGATTGGAAGGTTGCTGGTTGAAGCCCTGCCTCTCTGATGGGGGCTTTGCACATCAGTTGGCCCTGCACTCTTGCCCCCCCCCTCCCCCCAAGCCGTGGCAAGTAAGACCCTGAAGAGAAGTGTTCCAAAGACCTTGTGTAAGAAAAGTGTTTTTATTTGTTAAATGTGGCTCAGACTTATTTTTTCCAGACTGACTGCTGGCCAGCTCTGTTCCAGGATTCTGTCCCAGCATATGTGGCTGGTGAGTGGCTTTGTGGGCTTACAGTAGGCTCTGTGCTTGTGAGCTGGAGGTCACTGGTTCAAACCCCAGCCCTGGTGGAATGGTTACATGTCAGTGGGCCCTTGAGCAAGGCCTTTAACCCCCAGCACTGGGGGTGATGCATGTTGACTGGCTTCTAAGATGTGGTAGGTGAAGAGATGTGTAGCTGTGCTTGTGTAAATTAAAGTATTTGTTCCAGATTTGCAGAGAAACACTCAAACACTTCTTTTCCCCCACAGTTTGTAAGCTAGACAACTTGCATCATCTCCAGAGCTGGGGGTTAAAGACCTTGCTCAAGGGCCCACAGACTTGTAAGCTCTCTGCCAGGGCTGGGGCTCAAACCAGCGACCTCCAACTCACAAGCACAAAGACTCAGCCCACTGAGCCACTCACCAGCCACATATGCTGGGGTAGGATCCTGGAACACAACTGACTAGCAGTCAGTCTTGAAAAAATTAGTCTGAGCCACATTTAACAAATAAAAAGACATTCATTGTGCAAAAAGACACTGGGCCATTTGGCCTGGATCTGCTTCAGACTCCCCTTGCTATGCGGGTTCCCAAAAGTGGAATTTAGATTTTAATGTAGCACGCAGAATTCCATAGTGACATGCTCCCTTTCATACACAGACAGGCGTTGTGGTTGGACACTACACTTGTACAAAAATCCCATATCTCTTGTGCCAATTAGTTAATGCTTTTCCTGTTCAATGTCTCAACCTTCTGGTTTATTCAAATGTGCTTTGCCAACCAAACTGCACTCCTGTGAATAAGCAAAACCACACACTCAGCTTTCCAGCTGTTGGCCGCCTTCCCGAGACACAAGCTCATCATTTCAGACGCTCCTCCATGGTGAAGTGCTTCCTGTCCCTGTGCCCCAAACTCCACGCAGTGTGAAGGCTGTATTTTACAGACATGACACACAAGAATGATCTTTATCATAAAAACACGGCTTTCTCCATCTCCGTGCTCTCCATCAGTCCTCACAGCTCTGGTCACTCTCTCTTCCTTCCAGCTACAGAAAGCCATCGAGGGCTCAACTCGCAGCGGGGTACGCCTGCGCCCTCCTCTGGCCAGTTTCAGAGATTCCAGTCGCAAATCTTCCAAATCCCACCAGTCACCATCCTCCCCGGTCCTGTCCGCACGGCAAGAGAGGGAGCCGAAGGTGTGGATAGAACAGGGGGAAGAAAGAGTTGAAAAGGAGGGAGATGAGAAGAAAGATGAGGGCAGCAGTATCAGACAGGCCTCCATAGATTTGTCGTTCCTCCACCCTGAGCTACCACTAGAGGGCACTTTTGACGATGAAGACTTCGTGTAGACTAGGATCAGCCGGTTTTTTGGGAATAGTGCGTTATGATTTATACGGATCGGGATTCTTTCTTTGTTCTTCTTGATTTCAGGCTAGTCCTTCAAAAATGTTTGGGTAGAGCTTTAGATTCAAACCACCTGTTCAATAATCATAAAAAAAAAAATCCAATTTTGATAGCTATGATTGAGGCTTTGATTACGTAGCTCACAACGATATCTCACAATCTCAGAGTTTCTGCATATAATGTTATTGATTTTACAGCATGTAATTATGTGATTAACTTTTTAAAGAAAATGTGTTACTACTCAATACCTAACTAAATCATCAATCGAAAAACAAATCATTTAATAAAGTCACCCATTCTCTACTTTATTCTTACTTGTGCTGTTCCCCCCACGTGAAGCTTACTTTCCGCATGTGTGTAATAATGTATCAAGCTACTCTGATCATACACTATAGGGACAAAAGCATTGGCACACCTGACCATTATACCTCCTGGAAGTTTTTTGACATCCGATTCGAAATGCATAGGTATAAAGTTGGTCTCCCCTTTGCAGCTACATCAGCTGCCACTCATCTAAATTGATTTTGGAAAGTGTTTGTGGGAACTGTTGCCCGTTTATCCAGAAGAACATTTGTGAGGTCAGGCACTGATGTTGGACGTGAAGGCCTGGCTCGCAATCTCCATTCTAGTTCATCCCAAAGGTGTTAGATGGGGTTGAGGTCAGGGCTCTGTGTGGGCCAGTTAAGTTCTTCCACACTAAACTCACCCAACCATGTCTTTATGGACCTTGCTTTTTGCACTGGGGCACAGTCATGCTGGAACAGAAAAGGGCCTCTTCCCCAAACTGATCCAACAAAGCTGGAATTGTCCAAAATGTCTAGGTATGCTGAAGCATAAAGAGTTCCCTTCCCTGGAACTAAGGGCCCTTGCCCAGCTCCTGAAAAACAACCCCATACCATTATCCCTCCTCCACCAAGCTTAATAATTGGCACAATGCAGTCAAGCATGTAATATTCTCCTGGCATCAACCAAACCCAGACTCATCCATCAGACTGCCAGACATAGAAGTGTGATTCGTCACTCCACAGCACACGTTTCCACTGCTCCAGTGGCAAGGTGCTTTACACCATTGCATCCGACGCTTGGCATTGGGCTTGGTGATGTGAGGCTTGCATACAGCTGCTCAGCAATAGAAGCCCATTCCATGAAACTACCGACACACCGATTTTCTGCTGGGGTTAATGCCAGAGGAAGTTTGGAACTCAGTTGTTGAGTCAGCGGAGTGTAGTGGAGCTGTAGGTCTCGAGACCAATTTTTTGTGGTCTTGTCTTGGTCTCGACTCTATTTGGTCTCGGTCTTGTCTTGGTCTCAACCCTATTTGGTCTCGGTCTTGTCTTGGTCTCGGACATAGCGGTCTCGATGGGATGGGGAAAAAAACAGAAAACAGCACATCCTCACAGAACAGTATCATTATTTATTACGCGCCTCAATTCAAATGCAACCAGTCAGATGCATCTACTTTAAAAACGTTACATTGTATACATTTTCTCTGCAAGTGCTTCACAGTCCACACACTTCATACACATTGCATGATAGCGAAGTTGGCAAAGAA